TCTCAGGTTTGGGGTCTCAGGTTTGGGGTCGCAGTTTGGGGTCGCAGTTTGGGGTCGCAGCTTTGGGGTCACAGCTTTGGGGTCTCAGGTTTGGGGTCGCGGCTTTGGGGTCTCAGGTTTGGGGTCTCAGGTTTGGGGTCACAGTTTGGGGTGGCACCTTCTCCCCGGGGGTGACGGAGATGCGCCAGACGCAGTGCGCGTGGGCCGGGTAGCCGTTGGGGAACTGCGGCGACGAGAAGTTGCCCTGGCTGTCCTGCAGGGTTTCCCCGCACGCTGCCGTGGGGCCGAGTGAGAGCCGCGCCGCCCCACAGGAACCCCGCGCCGCCCCACAACCCCGGCATTCAGCCCCACAGCTTGGGGGGCAGGGGGGGTTTGCGCCCCACGGCCCCCAAACGAAGCCCTGCTGCAGGAGGGGCGGCGATGCTGCGGTGAGCGCGGCTCTGAGGGATGCGATGCGCCCCATGGATGCGCCCCATAGATGTGCCCCATAGATGCGACCCATAGATGTGCCCCATAGATGCCCCCCATGGATGCACCCCCCAGTCACACCCCATAGATGTGCCCCATAGATGCCCCCCAGTGATGTGCCTCATTAGGTGCCCCATAGATGGGCCCCACAGTCACACCCCATAGATGTGCTCCATTAGGTGTGCCCCATAGATGTGCCCCAGAGATGCACCCCACAGTCACACCCCATAGATGTGCCCCATAGATGTGCCCCATAGATGCGCCCCCCAGTCACACCCCATAGATGTGCCCCACAGATGCCCCCCAGAGATGCGCCCCATTAGATGACGCTCCCCACAGATCCACCCCACGCACGCACCCCACAGACACTCTGCATGGACGCACCCCATAGATTCACCCCATAGATTCACCCCACAGACGCTCCCTATAAATACACCCCATGGTTCCACCCCACAGATTCCCACCCTCCCCCCCTGGGCCCCCCCCCCCCGCACTGCACCCCCCAGCCCCCCCCCCCACCCCCCCCCCCCCCCCCCCCCCACACATCCCCCCCCCGCCCCACAGCGCCCCACTCACCGGGGCAGCGGTACAACTTCCTCGCCTGGGCGATGTCCCCTTTGCTGAGCCGCGTGCGCTGCCCTATGGAGGGCCGGACCCCATTGATGTCGTATTTGGGCAGGATGGTGTCCAGGAAGATCCCCCTATGGGGTCATGGCGGCTCAGTGGGGCACGGCTCAGCACCGCCCCCTAAATGGGGCGCTATGGGGCAGAGCGGGGTGCTGCGGGGCACTGTGGGGTGCTACGGAGCTCTGTGGGGCAGAGCAGGGTGCTGGGTGGCTCTATGGAGTGCTATGGGGCAGAGCGGGGTGCTGTGGGGCGCTATGGAGCACTATAGGTCAGAGCAGGGTGCTATGGGGTGGAGCAGGGCGTTATGGGGCGCTGTGGTGTGCTATGGGATGCTATAGAGCAGAACAGGGTGTGATGGGATGCTATGGGGCAGGGTAGGTTGCCTGGGGCGCTGTGGGGCAGAGCAGGGTGCTATGGGGTGCTGTGTGGTGCTGTGGGGCACTGTGGGCAGAACAGGGTACTATGGGGCGCTGTGGGGCGGAGCAGGGCGCTATATGGCGCTGTGGGGCAGAGCAGGTGCTATGGGGTGCAGTGGGGCGCTATGGGGCAGAGCAGGGCGCTATGGGGTGCTGTGGGGCAGAGCAGGTGCTATGGGGTGCTGTGGGGCACTATGGGCAGAGCAGGGTACTATGGGGCACTGTGGGGCAGAGCAGGGCGCTATATAGTGCTGTGTGGCACTATGGGGCAGAGCAGGCGCTATGGGGCACTGTGGGGTGGAGCAGGGCGCTATGGGGCGCTATTGGGCGCTATGGGGCGCTATGGGGCAGAGCAGGGCGCTATGGGGCGCTATGGGGCGCTATGGGGCAGAGCAGGCGCTGTGGGGCGCTATGGGGCGCTATGGGGAGCTGTGGGGCACTATGGGGCAGAGCAGGCGCTATGGGGTGCTATGGGGCGCTATGGGGCAGAGCAGGCGCTATGGGGCGCTATGGGGCAGAGCAGGCGCTATGGGGCGCTATGGGGCGCTATGGGGCGCAGCGGGGCGCCGCACCTGGAGAAGGTGTTGCGCGCGTAGTGCATGATGCTGTCGAAGTCGTACGTCTCGCCCAGCGACTCCACCTCCTCGGGCTCCATCTTGAGGGAGTTGTACTCCCGCCCCGGGGGGGGGGCCCGGGGGGGGGGGGGGGCGGTGGCACGGGGCCGCCCCTCGGGCGCCCCCTGGCGGCTCGGCGGGGCCGGGGCGGCACCTGGCTGGATGTTGTCGCGGATGATGGCGACGTGCCGGTCGCGGTCGGGCCGCGTGTGCTCGTGCCAGAAGCCGATGACGTGGCCCAGCTCGTGCACCACGATGCCGAACTTGTCGCAGTTCTTGCCGATGGAAATGGCCTGCGGGCCGCCGCCGCGCCGCCCCACGTACGAGCAGCACCTGCGGCGGCCGTCAGCGCGGCCCCGGGCGGAGCCCAGGCGTCCCAAGGGCGCCCCGAAGCCGCGAGCACCGCGAGCCCGGCCCGGCTGAGCCCGGCCCCGCAACCGCCGCCTATGGGGGGCGCTGCGACCCCAGGCCCGTCCACCGTTGGCTTCCCGTCCCCGTGGCCTCAAAAGGGGAACCGCTGCCCCATAGGCGCCCCACAACCACGGCCCCAAACCCGGTGAGGATGGGGAACCCCGACCCCAACAGACCCCCATAGATGGGGCTCTCTGACCCCAAACCCATCCACCCTCGGGTCTCCCATCGCCACGACCCCAAAGAGAACCCCGTGCCCCACAGCTGCCCCCCGTGTGGGGCACCCC